GGATCAGTGCTGGGTCCACTGCTTTTTGTTATTTATATAAATGATTTGGATCTGAACATAGGAGGGATGGTTAGTAAGTTTGTAGATGACACTAAAATTGGAGGCGTAGTGGACAGCGAAGGAGGTTACCACAGAGTTCAGTGCGATCTTGATCAGATAGGCTATTGGGCCGAGAAGTGGCAGATGGAGTTTAATTTAGATAAATGTGAGGTGCTGCATTTTGACAAATCAGGGCAGGACTTATACACTTAATGGTAAGGCCCTGGGGAATGTTGCTGAACAAAGAGACCTTGGAGTGCAGGTTCATAGTTCCTTGAAAGTGGAGTCGTAAGTAGATAGGATAGTGAAGAAGGTGTTAAGTATGCCTGCCTTTATTGGTCAGTGCATTGAGTATAGGGATTGGGAGGTCATGTTGCAGCCGCACAGGACATTAGTTCAGCCACTTTTGGTATATTGCATGCAGTTCTGGTCTCCCTCCTATAGGAAGGACGTTGTGAAACTAGAAAGGTTTCATAAAAGATTTACGAGGATGTTGCCAGGGTTGGAGGGTTTGAGCTATAGGGAGAGGCTGAATAGGCTGGGGCTATTTTCCCTGGAGCATCGGATACTGAACAGTGACCTTATAGATGTTTATAAAATCATGTGGGGCATGGATAAGGTGAATAGGCAAGCTCTTTTTCCCGATGTGGGGGAATCCAAAACTAGAGGGCATAGGTTAAAGGTGAGAGGGGAAAGATATAAAAGGAACCTAAGGGGTAACATTTTCATGCAAAGGATGGTGCATATATGGAATGAGCTGCCAGAGGAAATGGTGGAGGTGCGTACAATTACAACATTTAAAAGGCACCTGGATAGGTATATGAATAGGAAAGGTTTAGAGGGATATGGGCCAAACGCTGGCAAATGGGGCTAGATTTATACAGGATATCTGGTCGGCATGGATGAGTTGGACCAACTCTATGACTCTATTTAACAAAAGTCCAAGATCAGATGGTTTCTATCCCATTGATATAAGGGACGTGGGTGAGAACATTAGGTACCTTGACTATAATCACCTAAAGGTACCAACATACAGGAACCATTCCTTTCAATGAGGAAATTGCATTGTCACCTTGCTATTTAAGAAAAATGAGAGAAAACTTTGTAATTATAGACCACTTATCCAAACATCTGCTGTGAGCAATACAAGAGTCTATAATTAAGGCACAAGTGACTGGACATCTTGGAAGTTTTCAGTCAATCAGAGAGAACTGGCATGAATTTGTAAAAAGTGACAGCAAACGAAAACCTGAAAGTTTTTGAAGAGATAGCTAAAGTAAAAGATAGATAAGTCATACATTATAAAGCCCTCATAACAGACTTTTAGCTGAGGTTTAAGTGCAAGAAACTAAGGCAAAAATGGTCCTCATTTGGAAATTGTCAGAGCAGCAGGATTTGCAGAGCGGGCACAATAGTCGGTATTTTAATTGATAGAATGTAACTAGTCATGTTCTGCAAGCATCTGTGTCGGGCTGTCAACTATTCACCACATTTATTCACAACTTAAAATGAAGCCACATATCTATGTCTGTCGACAACACAAAGATAGGCAGCATTGTAAGGAGTGTAGATGGAAGCAAAAAAATCACAAAGCAAAATTGATTGATTACATAAATATACAAAACTATGGCAAACTGGTTTAAATCTGAGTGCACCCACTTTAACCCTACAATGAATAGAAGAAAGCACCTTCTCAATGATGAAAAGCTAGAAACATCTGAGGTCTAAAGAGACTCGGGTGTCCCAATACATAGATTACGAAAATGCCATGTATAGTTACAGAAAATACTATAAAGCTCAGAACACTCCTTATCAAGCAGGCTGGAACGGAAAGGTAAAAATTATGCTTGAGTTATACAAAGCTTTGCTTAGATCACAGCTGGGAGCAGCTATTGGCACCTCACCTTCTGAAGGATTTATTAACCTGAAAGGGTCAATGTGCATTTATCAGCATGATACCTGGGAGTCCAGGAGGGCTTACACAGTCTAAGTTTGCATTCTCCAGGAGGGCTGATGTGTTTGCTGCTTTTATAATATTAAGGCTACTAGATTGCTTAGATAGAGAGAAATTCTTTCTTCTGGTTGCACCAGAGGGCATTTTCGAAAAATTGGAGCTGGACCTTTCAAAAGCGAAGTTTGGAAATGCTTTCACAAACAGCAATTAATAGTAAATCATTTGCAAATTCTAAATTTGTGGTTGATTGCTTCATGTAAAGTAAAGCTACCATGTGATATGAGGTAAAGAAGCATAAATGAACTTCAACCATGATCTTATTGAATGGCTGAACAGGCTGGAGGGAATATGTGGCCTACTCCTGTTCTTATTTTCCTACTCATATAATTTTTTAAAAATCAGATAAAACATTTCCCAGCAATTTTTCATTTCCTCAGTCATTAATGCCAATAAAGTATATTGAGAAACAAACCATGTGTTGCACATAAATCTCTATCCACTAATTGTGGTGGATAAAAGATCAAGGGCAGTAGGCCTGCAATTTCCTGATCTATACTAAATACACCCTGATTTCTAAGATTTAATTCCAGTACATGAGTCTCCTCAATGAGGCATCAGAAAATTACCCTATAATGTACAGGGTGTGTTCTTGAATTTAACTACATATGCATACATGTCAAGTTTAATGACTGAGTTATTCTCTGTTAGCTGAAAGCAGCCTTTTACAGAAATTTGTGTTTACTGTAGATGTTCAATGACCTTAGCACTGGGATGAAAATTGTGCTTATATGGGAAATACTGTGCCAGTGTTCACTGCCTTGGTTTGAACAGCAGGCTTTACAATTCAAGTGAGGTACACGACAATCGGAACATGGTAACAGGAGTCGATCATATGGGCCCTTGAGCCTGTTCTAATGTTCAATTAAACGATGGATAATTTGTATTTTAATTCCGCTTGCTCATCTTGTTTCCGTAACTCTTAGAAGACTTACCTTAAAAAACATCAATCAATCTCAGTCTTGAAACATTAAATTTTGAAATGCTGAGCCAAATCTTGAGGGGAAATTAAGAAAGCTTTAAAAGATCCTAGTTAGAGCAAACAGAATAAGTCACATGATTTTCTCCATTACAATTTTATTATTTATGTTAATTTTAGCAAGTTCCTATCTGAATTTATTTGTAATTTCGTGTATCTCTGTTTCTTTATCCTCATGCTCTATTATAAAGTCTGATACTAAGTTTACTGTTAGGAATTCCATTATTTCCTGACATCAACTTGCAGCGTCATCCGAATCTGTCTTTAAGAAACTCCATTATTTCTCACCACCCTCTTTCTCTGAATTTACTTACAAAACCCCTTAGTGTTTTACTTGACATTTAACACAAGATTTTTCACACATTCTTCTTATATAGCTAGGACTGCTTCCTTGTCTTTCTTTGAGACGGTAAGGACTACAGATGCTGGAAGCTAGTCAATAAATGTGCATCTGGATAAATACAATGGGTCAGACAGCATCCGAGGAGCAGGAAAGTCAACATTTTGGGATGAAACCTTTCTTCAGGACTGGGGAAGGGGAGGTGAGCCCCGAAATAAGGGAGGGGAGTGGGGCTGGGGGGAGGGTAGGTGAGATGGAGATAGGTGGATGCAGGTAGGGGGTCATTGTAGTTGGTCTGTAGGAAGGATGGAGCGGATAGGTGAGTCAGAAGATGGACACGTTGGAGGAGGGGAGTTTTTGAAGCTGGTGAAGTCAATATTAAGGCCATTGGGCTGTAAGCTCCCAGGGCGAAATATGAGGTGTTATTCCTCCAGTTTACCTTTGGCCTCCCTCTGACAGTGGAGGAGGCTGAGGATGTATTTCTTTCCTGTTCTCTCCTAATCTGCAAGACCTCTACTAGGCTTTAAATTCATTTAAAACCTTTTTCTTTGTCAGTTATACTGTTGCTCACATTTCTTGCTGCCCTACTGTGATTTTTACAAATTGCTCATGCGATGTTGTTGTCATTGGCTACGTTGTGTGGTTTAGAGTCACATGTAGGTTGGCAGGTTTCCTTCCTTATGGGACATTAGTGAAAGAAATTAGTTTTTACAATTGACAGTGATAAACTATTAGGTTAGCTTTTCATTTCAGTTTTTAACTGAATTCAAATTTTAACCATCTGTCATGGTGAGATTTAAACCCTTCCTGCACACCTTTAGCCCAGGGGTCCAGATTACTAGCTGTGCCATCACCTCCCCTAAATTAAATACACAAGTATAGAACTTGCCCTTTAGGCGTATTTACAGCTCTTACATCCTAACAAATGGTCATTGTTACCGACATAGCCACTTACCATTAAATTGTTGATTAACTTGAGCTCATAACTCATTTCTGGGTCGAACATGGCGCATCCTTTTCTTTTAGTAGAAGAACTTTATTTCTTTCTCAAGAAATTAAAAGGCTTTGGAACTCACTTGTTCTGGTCCTACCAGTCCTATGTGGAAATTAAAGCTCTTAATCATTATAATGATGTTTTTGCAACAAACCTCAGTGTTTATGAATGCTACTTCTTTACCTTTCCTACTTGGTGGCCAATAGACAATCCCCATCAAAATCTTACCTCTTGTTCTATTCCTGAATCTGTTCAAAGAGATTTCTATAGCTAAATCACACTTACTTGCAACTTTTCTTCTTAATGCTGTTTTAGCATACTTTACAAATGTTGTTGTTCCTCCACTTTTTCCAATTTCTTAAATCCTTTCTAAAGACTATAATCTAGGTATATTGTAAATTACTAATTATATATCAGGTACCAAATGTTTTATTGCATGGAACTCTTATTTGGGCAATGGACTCTACAATATTGCCCATAGAAAGATTTTCTCATACTTGGCATACTCCTTGTCTCTCATTTCTTTTAATAAGATGGTGCCTGGGTGATCAAACCCCATCAAGACCCAAGCACTATCAGTAGGATTAGAAGGAACAGTAGCGGGGAATGTCAGAAAGTAAGTAATGACATAACTTACTGAAACAAACTTGATAATTTAACATATGCTGGAATAGTTCACAAAGGGGTTGGTCATCTTTCGCAACGCCACTGCACGTGCATTCGACCTGTAGAAGTGTGCCACGTGTATTGATATATGCTGCCATACACTCTGCATTGGCTGTGCAACTCCAGTCATCCCATGTGAATCCTGAGAGGCAGTCTTTTTCATTGCCTTGCTGACATATTCTTGTCAGTTGGCCCCAACATGTTGCTTGAAACAATTCATATCTTGACCTGAAAGCACAAATATTACATAGCTTTAATGTTGTAAGATTATAATAAAAATTATACTTCTTTTAACTTCCTGCCATTTTAGCATTGAGCCCCTAAAATGTTGGACCCATTTAATGAATGTACCATTTTGGTCAAAATCAAGCACTAGAAAACAATATGGCCTAACTCAGAAATTGTGTCAGCTCCTTGTAGTTTCAATGATCAGAATTCAATGTAATACTTAAGACATAGGTTCAACCATGCACTGTACACCTTCACCTGGGACTTCTTATTCTTCTTTAGGAACATTGGTATTGCAGGAGGCTTCTGCACATTGTTCGACAGGGAGAACCAGGTGATCTGTGCCTCAACTTCATTTCACTCAGTGTTGGTCCATATCCTCAATACTGTGCTCGTGCTGAAGAAAAATCTCAGTCTTGAGAGGAGGGTGTATGAGCCGGAGTGGTCACCAAAACTTTCTTAACCATGAGGGACACAAACATCTTCCCCGCAGACAGACCAAACCACAGTGGCTCAGTGGTTAGTACTGCAGCATCACAGCATCAGGGGCCTGGGTTCAATCCCAGTCTTGGGCGACTTTGTGGAGTTTGCACGTTCTCCCCTCGTATGCGTGGGTTTCCGCTGAACACAATCCAAAGATGCGCAAGCTAGATAGATTAGCCATATTAAATATGGAGTTACAGGGATTTTTCAGGCCAGAGTGAGGGTGTTGGTTCTGGGTGAGATGGTCTTTGGAGGACCAATGCAGACTGGATCGGCCTAATGGCCCCTTTCTGGACTATGGGGGTTTTATGAAAAGATACTCGGTTTCACTACAGGCTGGTATTCCCAGGGGAAAGTGTACTGCAAGTACATTGTCACATCTACTGCTCATCACCAAGATGGCATATTCATCAATGTGCTTCTGGTTTGTGACATGAGCAGTCCATCCTGTAGGTATGTGCCCAGTGTTTTGGTAGAAATCATGACATTTCCATTCTGTGCATTCTTCTGTATCAGTTTAGTTGAAACAGGAGGTCAAATTACAATTTCACTGTTGAGCAACAAAGGCTATCCTCTCCAGACACGGTCCATGACTCCCCTCAGGAACCTGCAGAACTGGACCACAAGGTAAGTACTTCATAACCATGGGTTTGAAAGATGTTAAACCATTGAATTCTGAAATATTATCCATACAGAGAAGAGATAATACAAGATGCTTTATGATACAAATTTGTGCAGCTTCAAAATGAGCTATTCCCAAATATTATAGACTGAAGATGAATAGGGTGGTAGTAATATGGACTGGAACCACTGGTATACGTATGTTGTATAGCTTCCACCGAATTCCTCTATTTCATGGCCATTAAAGGAACGGTTGTCTATCCTAATCAATATTAGCCTCCAAATTTAACCAATTGGATTTTAATTCGTTATAAAGCTGCCTTAAGGAAAAATACCAAAAATGAGTTAGATTTCATCATAGCACCAGGTTTTGGGAACATAAACCATGACCTTGCAATTAACTTGGAAAACAATTAGGCATACTGTACCAACACCAATTTCACTTTGTCCATGTCTCAGCCAGAATACCAGTACAGCATATAATACTACATTGTAATAATTCTTCCTCCTTTACATCAGTTGTAGTATGACTTCTTTCAATCAGGTAAACAACAAGTGGCAAATTATAGGAACAGGATTTAGGCTGTTTAACACCTAGACCATCTCTGTCAATCAATTAGAGCATGGACGATCTATAACTCCACTAAATTTATGGATCTTAGCTCCATAGTCACTTGATTTTGTGTAATTTTTTGACCTGGAAACAGTAACAGTAAGAAAAAAAATGTTATTCCATTAAAATGTTTGATAAACTGTATTTATTGATTTGAAACTGTTTGAAAGGACATTTAAAGAGTTTGTAAGACTTGGAAAGGGAAGACTTATAATTGGAGGGTAATGCAAACCACTACTTTATTTGACCTGGTAACTCTTGATCGAGAAACAAAATGAAGAGATAGGAAGTTAATATCTGGAGTCCGAGCCAAAGTCAGCAGAGAAGATTTGGGTTCCTGAGCAGTTGAAAAGCATGGTTAGGACTGCTGCTATTTCTTTCACTTCCAAACGACTGAATGGCCAGGATCTGCCATATTGTGTGAAATTAATAGTGGTTCTGGTAGATCGATGAAACTATGATCAATGGGAGCTGAGGGTTGAGAAAGTTTTAGAAAATGTAAGGAACAGCCTAATCCTGTTCCTGTAATTTGACACTTGTTGTTTACCTGATTGAAAGAAGTCATAATACAACTGATGCAAAGGATGAAGAATTATTACTATGTAGTACTATTGTGAGGACCGTAATATCGTCTGCTGTAGCTGGTAGTGAGCTGGGAGATGGGGACAAGTATTTCATTAGGTGAGGTAGTGTCATAGTTGAACTTTGCTGCCTTCCTGCTTCCACTAGAATTCATTAATCAGGATCATTAAAGACCCATCTAAAGGTCTCAGCCTGTAGCCAGTGGTATTATCCTGGTTCCAAATGGTCCTGTTTCCACTCAGTGGGACATACTGTGCTGGCAGTTAGTCAGTTGTGTAGGGATTGGTTCCTCAATTAAAAGCCTGATTGAAGGATGTAACATCAAGAAGGAGGGTCTTGCTCATTCCCTCTCCCCCTGCTCTCACTCACCTTTGGTGGCCTGAATTACTAACAGCAGGTTTTGCATGTGAATTAATTCATTAATTCCAAAACACCGATAATCTATTGCTGATGGTTAATAGATGTAAAAATTCCAGGGTGATTTGGTGATGAGATAGAAAACTTTAAGTTGTATGTAAGAACACTTCTGGATATAAAAACAAAGAAGCAAAAAAAGCGGGAGATCCACATCCTGGTCTTGCTGCTAATCCTTGTCCCAGGTCCTTTCACCAACATGCACAGTCTTCTCAGGGGTGCTGTTCAATACAAGAGCTGCTGCCCCCTGGTCAGTCAGTCAGTCTCGCTGAGCAGGGGCTTAAGTCCTGAGGTTCTTGATTCAGGGAAATGCTGGCTGGTGGTCTTAGCATGACCTGAATGGTGCGTGATTCATTGGGCCTTCCTGTAAAGTTGCACCACTGGTCATTGAGACAACAAGGTGCAGGGCTGGATGAACACAGCAGGCCAAGCAGCATCAGAGGAGCAGAGAGGCTGACGTTTCGGGCCTAGACCCTTCATCAGAAAAGGGGGAGGGGAAGGGGGTTTTGAAATAAATAGGGAGAGAGTGGGAGGCGGATAGAAGAGGGATAGAGGAGAGGATAGGTGGAGAGGAAACAAACAGGTCGAAGAGGCGGGGATGGAGCCAGTAAAGGTGAGTGTAGGTAGGGAGTTAGGAAGGGGATAGGTCAGTCCAGGAAGGACGGACAGGTCAAGGGGGCGGGATGAGGTTGGTCGGTAGGAGATGGAGGTGCGGCTTGAGGTGGGAGGAGGGGATAGGTGGGAGGAAGAACAGGTTAGGGAGGCAGGGACGAGCTGGACTGGTTTTGGGATGCGGTAGGGGGAGGGGAGATTTTGAAACTTGTGAAATCCACATTGATACCATTGGGCTGCAGGGTTCCCAAGCGGAATATGAGTTGCTGTTCCTGCAACCTTCGGGTGGCATCGTTGTGGCACTGCAGGAGGCCCAGGATGGACATGTCGTCTGAGGAATGGGAGGGGGAGTTGAAATGGTTCGCGACTGGGAGGTGCAGTTGTTTGTTGCGAACCGAGCGTAGGTGTTCTGCAAAGCGGTCCCCGAGTCTCCGCTTGGTTTCCCCGATGTAGAGGAAGCCACAGCGGGTATAGCGGATGCAGTATACCACATTGGCAGATGTGCAGGTGAACATC